TTTAGCCAAGGTAAGCTCCAGGTCATCAATATCTTTCTTGAGCTCAGAGCATTCATCCTCCAGCTTTCTCTTCTTGGCAGTGAGCTCAGCATTGATTTCCTCTTCATCCTCCAGTCTCTCAGTGGTCTCTTTGAGTTTGGCTTCCAGCTGAATCTTACTCTTGATGAGTCCCTCACATCTTTCCTCAGCATCGCCGAGATTCTCAGCTTCCTATTGTACATTTTGAACATACAATAAGTTAGTTTACTTGTTAAAGATTTCAATATTCATTCACATAGAAGACAGTGAAGGTATTCTTATCTCACCTAGATATCTGAAAATGTGAGCAGCCGGGTTACATTAGTGAATTCTCCTACTTACTGCAGCCACTTGGAGCTGCAGATCATTCTTCTCCTGCTGAAGGGACACCATCTTCTCCTCCAGTTCCTTCTTCTTGGCCAGGGCAGTAGCCAAGTCTGTTTGCATCTTCCCGTAGTTTTCCTTCATCTGAGCCAGCTCCTTCTCAGTTTCAGCACTCTGCAGCAGAGGCTTGATCTTGTAGTACACCTTCATCCATGGCCAGTTCTTCACATTCATGAATGAACGGATATTGTACTGGATGGAATAGATAGCTTCCCTATAAGATAAATGTACACAAAATGTCACGTTCACTGTAATGGTTTCTTTAGAACTGGGGAGGATTATGATATAATATCTGGACACTATTCAAATGGACAGAAAAGTACAGTTCTTCTATATAAAAGGCAGAACTAATTTGATGTTAGTGCAACCGTGCTACCTCCTCTCCATCATCTTCACAAACTCCTTTCTCATGAGGTAACCTCGGCAGAGAGCCTGAGTCATGGTAACCAGAGAAGCCAGCTTTTCATCTCTCATCTCCTCAAGGGTACCCAGCAGACCAGCTTTGAAGAACACCTATTTTGTCAAGTGAAGGAAATTAGTATTCAACATACATGGATGCCACTTAATGTGTTAATATTGTCAATAAGAATGAACCTTTGTGTGTCCAAACTTGTACTGAGTGTGGTCCACATCAATGGAGCCCAGCAACTTCTCTGAAGCCTTCTTGTTATCAATGAACTGGCCCTCAGGGATGACACTGGCATTCAGTACCTTGTATCTGCAAGGAAAATGATAGATTAGATTGATTTCAACTTCCCAACTTTCACAGTGTGTATATTAGTTGACAGAGCATCCGGGTCTAAAATGTGATGCCAATGTGAAAGTTCCTTAAACCTGCATTCTTTCTAATGGCCAGCAGTGGGCGAGTCTTCTGGCTCCAAAAAGAAGTCCAATTATATTCAACCTTTTCAACCCACTTCTCACTTGATTTATCAACTGAAAATTACCTTTGCTTAAAATCACCATAGAGGATTCTGCTGGGGAAGCCCTTTCTGCAGATTCTGATGCCTTCAAGTACACCGTTGCACCTGAGCTGGTGGATGACCAGGAAGTTCTCCATCAGACCTGGACATTGCAAGCACATAATGGGCAAAATATTTGCTCTGTTACGATGTTACACAAAGTGCTTAAAGGTACAAACTTCTATGAATTTCTTACCTGGAGTCTTTGACTCATTGGGAATCAGGCAGCGTACAAAGTGAGGATGGGTGCTCCTCAAGTTAGTCATCAGCTTGCCCAAATTCTCCTGTGAATGGGCATGTAAAAATAATAGATTAACTTGATTTCATAATGAGTTTTTTAATTGTTATTCAAATGCTATGCAAAATGCATTACTTACTCTGAAAAGAGCAGACACAGTCTGGAAGGAACCGCCCTTCTTCTTTCCACCCTTTTTGCCACCACCACCAGCAGCCTCTGTTTTGCAAAATAATTGAATTTTATTAATAGGTGAATAAATAACATAGATGTGTTTAAGCGTTGTTCTTTGTGTAAAATATATATTGTAATTTGGAGATGGTCTGGAAGGAACCACCCTTCTTCTTTCCACCACCTTTCTAACCACCTCTGTTTTTGCAAAGAAGTTGTAACAATGCTTCTGAATCATTGCCTTTGTTTCTTGTCTGGTTTATCTCCACATTAAATTTGCATGTTTTAGCAGATTACCAGTTTGTACTGACTAGCCTCTTACCCTCCGCTCCAGCATGGGCCACATATAGCATTGCCAGCAGTTTGTTTGAAGATTTCTGGTAGAGCTGAACAA